GGCTACGATGTTATCCGCGTGGAACCATGACTATATGTAGTTCTTCAAACACCGCGACATCAGCTGCAAGTGGGTTTTCTCAACTTTGGGTCCTGAATTTGCTCCCGAAACTAAAATGCCAAGACAGTAGCGTGTTCCAGTCGAGTGGCTTATGCGCCCAATTTTGCGATCCTTGGGCCTTCGCCATTTTGCAACAATCCCAGTGCTGGTGTTCCAATGAGTCTCCCGTCTCGGGACTAACGGAGGCATCGTCATGCGACTCCCCATGTCCCGGGTACCCGTATGAGTCTTGTGGGGGCAAAGGTCTTTTCAGCTACGTAGCGCTTCACAGAGTCGCCTCGCCCGATGATAGTATCACCTCAATGACCAGTATTCCGAGGCAAACTTCGGTGGAGACGTTGTATGAGACCCGAGTTACTGAAGGCACACTCATCAAGACAGTAACACAGACGGTCACCGTTACCAAAGGCGGCATTGAAGTTCCGTCAGACGCCCCGAATATCACGACAACTGTCCTTTCATCGACAAGACTAGCAGCTCCAGCTTCCAGTAAGAAGCTCAACCGGGCACAACTTGCTGGCATTATTGGGGGAGTCCTCGCCACCATATTGATCGTGTTGGTCATTAGTGTATGGAGCCTTCGTCGGCGGCGGACACCTTTAAAGCAAGATGACCTGAACACAGGCTCCGTCAGCGATCTCACACATTTTCCTGGCAGACTTGGAGTACTGCGTATTACTAATCCGGACTAAGGCTTGACTAGGCGTGAGCCCCTCCAACGATAGCACCTAGACGATGGACTGTCATGGCTGTCTCATCAGAACTTGGAATCCTTGAACTTGTTTACGAAATCAACGCCGTTGACTCTACGACAATCAATGATCAGACATATCTCACGGCTAGCTTGTTGTTTACATGTTGAAGTGTATCAGCTCGGTCTGTATTCATGTTGCTTGATCACTCGAATCGGTTACATTGCATCACGCTTTGATGAGTGATTGTTGTCATACCCATAGGCGAGTCACGTTACTACCCATTGTCAAGCAGGCTCGGATTGGCTTCGGTTTTTGATAGACTTTCGTGAAGCATGGCACGCTAGGGAAACAAGTATAGGCAGCGACTGAACCTTCTCTCATGTGTAACTTTAAGGTAGTGACAACAGCTGGCACAGAGCATCTCGATCACTCTTATCACACGTAAGGGAAGAGCATTCCGTCTTGACAAGGAAAAGCCATTACATCGGGGTCTCGATCTCAGCTACTGCCCGACGGGATACGGAATGTTCGCTACAGTATGACCCTTCAGAACAGCGGGAAAGCCAAGAATATGTGGACATACTGGGTTCAGGCCGAGAGCAAGGTCTACAATACAGGTTTCGTCATAACCATACTGACAATCATTCCCCTGCGGAATGTTGTAGAGTTGGTAGTTTTGTGCCACCCAACTAGTAGGCTGAGACAAACATTTACCCAAATACGTCATGCTGTTTGATGCAGACAGTGGCAGCTTACCATGCGAGAGGAGATGAACGCACTCCTCCGCCTCCACAAACTCGTAGTCCATTTCAACCCCACCTCCAGTAGCCGGTGCTTCTAGCGCGGACTTTCCCGTCACCAAATAGTTCCACGCATCGTAGCTGATGTCATACGATCCCTGAGACTCATCAACCTTCAACAGATGGAGGCTTCGAACACCATGCGACACCTTGACACAGATCGCATCACAGTCGACGTCGCTCGGCCAGTACGCTACACGATTGTGGTTTATTTTGCATCCTAGTACCCCAACAGAAGAGCCATACAAGGCGTGAGGCTTGATGAACAGTGTATGAGCCCTAGTTGCGGCGACTAAACTGGCCGATAGAATGACGATCAACGGGAAAAGCATCTTTGGAGGAGATTTGCTACCTGACGGGGCTTGTGTCTTTTATTTTTTGAACGCTCATTCTATTGGATCATAAGCTTCGTAAGGGATGAGGCAATCATTTGAGGTGGCTCGACTTTGTCACACCTCTTGAGGCTCAGATTTGCAACTTTAGCGCGTTATCGTCACTGATTTTGCACAATGTAATTACTCGGACGCATTTTTACGTGCTCAGTCATGCTAAGGAACCTTGACAGGAATTGCGCCTCGTTGAACTGCTGGCCAAATGATTATGATCATACCTATTAGTTTGTTGAGCCGGTGTTTTCTCTCGTATAGTACCTAAACATTTGAAACCTGGCGCTGATGAGCTGGTGCAACGGAAGTAGAGTAAGGGCAAGCTACAAGTTCACGCACATATTATTACCTGATGTAGCCAATTCCTCCCACGATACAGTCACACAGCTCGAGATCCGATGACAAGACAACTATGGAACATCGGATGACGTTGGAGAGCTTAGTTGGATGTAAATACGGATGCCATTGATACACCTCACTAGCGCGAGTGAACTGGAACGAGGAGCACTCATGTTGGCTTTCTTTACTTTTCTCTTCCGCTTCTCCTTTTCATTCAGTTTGTCACACATTACGTAGACTGCGCCGTTGTTTTGAGCTGCATTACATTGGATAATAATTTATCCGTATCTTTCGCATCTCGTACTCTCCCCGTGGACCCTCTCTATCCGTTGCCTGGCCGGGCGGAAAAAGCCTGTAGAGTTTACACAGCCGTGATAGTCTCTTCTTGTTAGACTGAGGGACTTAGACCGTGGCGAGCCTGGCCGTTGGAAAACGTCTCACAGCTGAGGCACGAAGTCTCGATAAGCTGATGGGTGTGCTCGGCCTCCGCACTGAAAAGCTCTCCGCGTTTACACAATGTACCTCAGACCCATGACAACTACATTCGTTACTAAGCTATATTAGACCACGGACAGCTCGATAGGGCCCCTGGTCCGTTGAGACGACACCTTCATAGCTGCGCAGGAACCGGTGGGTAAACTACTGAGCTTCTACGCACATGGTTTGACTGTGTCCCTCGCGCGATGAGCCGGCTTCCGCTTCGACCGGAGCGACGCCTGGTCAATCCTCTGCTGAGATTACGTAACACTCGGCCGAAAGGCTGTCAAGGACCAAAAGAGATCAAGATTAGTAGCGACGGAAAGACATATCCAGCAATCTATCGCGTGAGTATTTGTATGTTTCATGCGTGTGTCTACGCAGGGCGACGGTTGGACGACGAACGTGTCGCGTTCAATAATTATATCGCCTCAATTTGACAGCGTTTGCGTCAACAAGACTCAACAGGAGGCATAGATTACATGGGCCAGCACCAGTCTCACTGAGCAAGGTAGACACGCTATCTCGCCACACCATCAGTCCACTCTACCTAACAGCTGCGAGGTTCAAGGAGTCAGCCCCAACTACTAAGAGTGCGAGCATTACATTTCAACCGTCTCAGTCGACAAGTCTTTCTCACGTGCTCTAGGAAAGAACGTTACGACTTGAGAGTGACAAATACCATCTAGAACTATTTCATCGTACAGTCTTGCCGTCTTATGAGAGACGCAGGGGCTTATTGGTGATGCATTCTAGCATTGCTGCGACATCTTCGTGTAAGATAATCCAGTCGACCTCTCTCAACCGCGCCAACTTGTGATACGTTGCATTGGCACCAACTACAATGATCCCCTGGTACTCAGCGTCCGATCCAGGTCGCTGCAGTACACGGTAGCCGTTGTGGAAAGCGCGGCCGATGGCGAGAGACACCCTCTCTGGGTGTATACCGTCTTTAATGTTTACCCAGCTATTGCTTTCGAGCAAGCTGTCTAGCGTATGTTCAGCCAATCTCCAAGGCTCGAGTGTGGGGCCCGAGCAGTAGTCGTTTAAAAGGTGGAGATTCAATCTGGTACTGTCACGACATATTCCGATGACCAGTAAGCAGTCGAATCGATTTTTGTCCAGAATGCGTTTCGCCTCATACGCTGCGTTAGGGTTCCAGAATCGGGTGATCGGCGTCAAAGCAAACCAGATCTCATCTTCCATCACGTCCGCGTCCTTGAGCAGAAAGAAGTCGTCCACTTCTGGGCAATCGAGTTGTGGGGCGGGCTTATCATGTCCCATACACTCAATGACGTGTCTTGGTTCCGCAAGTCTGATCAATGTCGGGTCGGTGC